AAGTTTCACAGGTCAGCCCTCTACGCTAGCGAGATACCGCTTAGTCAACCCTGTATGGCACCTTTTGTCCAAGGGGACTTGAGCACGATAGTCGGCAGGTTAAGGCAGTTGTAAAGGATCACAAAAGTAGTGCTGGAGGCAGGGTAAAATCTACAAAAAACTCACGACAGAGATAGCAGCTTTGCCAAGCGCTGCCCTCGAAAAAACTGCCCACTAACCGGGCCTGGCTCTCTCTCTCTGTGCTTCGCCAGGATAGACCTTCCTCACTCAGCTTCTGTGCCTGCGGATCATGTTCTGGTGGAAGAGCGCGACCTCTCGTGACGAGCGCCCAGCACACGTTGCAGACATGTGCCAAAGGAAGCTTCTTACGAAGCGAAGAGTTGTGCACTCTCTCTTCATCCTTGCCTTGATGTTGTGTAGAGACTCGAAGACCGATCTGTGCGGCAGCTCATCCAGGCCTTCAGTGGAAGTGTACTCGTGGCTGTTCGCAGCTTTGCTGCGACAGGCTCTAGCTGCAGCGACTTGCATCGATACGGATGAGTCCTGGTGCCGCCTCGCAGAGGACGGAAAACAAGCCGACATTACGAAAGATTCACCAATGTCCCTGCCGTGAAGATCGTCTCGAGGTCTGCAGAACGGAGCGGTCTCAGCTCCCCGATGCCGAACACAAGAATCTCAAAGCAACGCTGAGGCTCTGAGTTGCCGAGCGTGCGAGACACGTTCAGCACCAGGAGCTTGCTCATAGCTCGCAGTCCAGCGGTGGACACCTGCTTGAAGAGGCCTCGTGCGACTGCGCTTTTGGACTCGAGAGCAGGCTGGTTTCGCTTTCGGCCTCTTGAAAAGTCCGCGGCTTTGCCGAAACGCACCTTGAGCGGCTGGGCTTCGGCAGCTGAGTGCTCTAGCGCTCGCCCGGCCTCTGAGGCAAGCTTGAAGCGGTCATCCCCTGCACAGCATGAGTGTCTCTGCTGCGCTGTCAGATCTCCGCACGAGAGACGGAAGCAGGTGAGGCCGGGCCGGGGGGCGGCCATGTGCGGCCCACCGACTCATACATTCTGTGTCTCTCTTCTCCTCTCTTCTCGAGTTTTTCACAGGAACCGAGTCGTGTCTCAAATATCTAGGGCTCGGAGAACTCCGAAATCAAAGCGGCCTTAAGAGCAGCTACAGCTCTGTTCTGTCTCTGTTTTGGGGCTGCATCATCTTCAGCTTCGAGCAGAAGATTCAGTTCTTGATGCAGGACTTGGGATTTCTTCTCGTTCTCTCCGCCGAGTTTGAAGAAGGGGGAGGTCGCGAGGCCATGAGGCCACTGTGGTGCTGGACTTACAGTGACAGGATCCAGGGAGTCAGGAACATGTGCCGGTGGAGCCCAGCCTTCTTGCGTCCTCGAGGGACACGGCGGCGGTGTCGCGGTCATCGCCGCCGAAGCACACCCATCTCTGAAACCCCAGGCCTGCAAGCACATGCAAGCACGAGCCTGTATAAGCCTTGAAGCTGTGAGCTGTCGAAATACCCCCATACCATAGGCTGCTTGAAGTCAGCTTACACATCGGTCGGCACAGCACGCATGATTACCGCGCCCCACCAGGGTCCTGAATTTCCCGGACTTCCACACCCCACCTCCACAGAGGTTCTCGCCCACATGCGCTCACAGCACCCTGTAGCCTGAATTGCCTGCACCTCCCCCATGCGGCTACTTCAGCAACTACTCTTCCAGTCACAACTGTTTTCAATAACCGTCGTTGTTGTCTTCGTCGTCGTCGTGTCCAGTCGTTGTGTCTTGTGGTTCTCCTTGTGCGGGTGGTGACTTGCCTCGCTGCGCAGTCCGGCTCCTTAGGAGCCCGAAAGGGGCAGGAAGGCCCCGCGCCACGCTTTCCTTGGGCCCTTGCGGCAGCGAACATGCCAGAGTGTCAGCGTGGCACCCTAGTGTGGCAGAACCGTGGCCAGTGTGTCTGGCGAGGCGCGCGCTTTTGTTGGCTCTCCTCCGCTCGGTCCGCCGCAGCGCGACTCGAGAACTGAGGAGAGGTCCAGCGGCAGCGACTGAGGCACCTCGTGGGGAAGCAGAGCCGCCGGAGAGCGGCATGCAGAAAGACGAAAAAAGCGCGCGGAGACAGCGCGCAGAGACAGCGCAGAGCGCAGCTCTTCTCAGAGCCCGGCCAGGCGCTGCCGAAAGCGCTTTCTGCTCGGCTCCAGAGGCCCCGAGTTTTCGCCCTGGCTTTTCGGGGCCTCCACAACCTCCTCCTGCTTCCGTTTCGGGGCCGAAGCCATGCCCGGGCTCGGACAGCTTTCGTAGATTTCCTGACAGGAAGGGGAGACCAAAACCTCCGAGAGCAGAGCAGAGTCCCCTCCCCGTCCTTCTGATGCTTTCGCGTGATCTCCTCCTTTGTGCCAGGGTTTCTCTGCAAGGCCACTGGAAAGGCGTTTGATTGAAAGCGGTCCTCCAGGGTGCCCACGGTGCAGAAGCGCCAGATGTGGATCTGCCAGGCGCTCGGAGCCCGCTCTGCTGGCTGCGCTCTGCTGGCGCTCGGCTCCCGCCCGCCTCCTTGCGAGTTTGGCCCCAGCGCCTCACACGGCCGATCGCCTGGCAGTGGCCAGACGGGCAGCTGACGGGCACGGGCGCAGCCCGCAGCCCGCCTGGAGCTCGAAAGCGATGGATTCCTGCTGTGTTTGCGCACTCATGGGGTGCACAAAGATGACGTGATTGGCACCTGGGACAGGCCAAGTCCACATAGCGCACTGGCACAAGCATGCCAGGGCTCTTCAGCCAAGGGACAGGTCAGGTTAGTTCCGCTGGCACTCTGCTCCAGAGACAGAAGCAGCACGTCCACCGAAGCAGAGTCCCTTCCCTTGAAGTTGGCCAGCGTCCGTGTGCGTGCGTAAACCGAGCCATCAAGCCGGGCAAAGCGGATGCCAAAGGTCCTGAAAGCAGCTGCGATGTTCTGCAGCAAGCTCTCCCACTGGCCTGGACAAGGTGACAGCGCTGAGCACCGAGATGGCTGGCACTGGCATGCTGCTCAGTGGCAGAAGACGATGCACTTGGCCAAGGGATCCTTACGGCAACGCTCAGCTCGACTCGACTCCAGACCGTACCGGACCGCGGACCTCTTCCTTGATCTCCTGCAGTTGGAGGACGATGGCTCCCAGCTTGCTGCCGAATTGCCCGAAGCGGCTTGGGCTTGCGCCTGAGGACAGAAGCTGATGCTAGTTACCTACTTTTGTGTCAACGTTGAGAGACATGCTTGACGCGGGTTGGATGGTTGAAGACGTGCATGTGTGGCGTAAGGCAAAAACAGGTCCGTGTTCGCGCCACGACGCATCCGGTTCGTGGCCATCTGGGGTTATGGTGCAGCACGCACACACAAGCCGCAACCGTCGCGTCGGTATGGTCATGGGCGCGCAGCAAACAAGGGCAATGGCTCTTCCTGTTCTCGTCAGGGCATGGCCTGTCGAGAACTGGAGTGGCGAGACTGGATTCCAGACCGCGGGCGAAGGGTCCGAAGATCCTAGGTGATGTGTGCTGGGGGAAGAGGAGAGGATGCCACGATAGCACTCGCTTTCTGCAGTGCCCCGGCGATGAGTTGCAAGCCGTGTGCCTGGTTGGTGCTTGATTGCTTCATTTCTGAACCTTTGTCCCGTTCACGACCATCTGCTTCCTTTGAGAAAAGGGTAACAGACGGCCCCTTCACCCAGAAAGGCTCTAGTAACTAGACTCCAGTAGCTCCAACAAGCTCGAGGGGTTGCTGTGCGAGAGAGCAGTGTGCCGCAGAGAGGAGAAAGCCAATAGGGATAGGCACACACGGCTCTCCCTTGACCCTTTGCTGACCGCAGCCTTCGGTTCTTTCTCCTTCCTTGCTCACTTCCAGCATCAACGGCTGGATATCCACCTTAACGACTCGAGCGGCCACTCGGCTGCAGCAAGAAGCCCTCCCTGCCTTCTTGAGGGGCTGCCGGCACAGGCCACACTGCTGATTCTTGACGACTTGTTCGTGAAGGCAACGCAGACAGAAGACGTGGGCCTCAGTTGAGGGCAGCATGAGCACCTTTGTCCTTGACGGGATGATGCAGCTACAAGCGGCACAGTTGAATCAAGCTGCACATGGCGTGATGCCCAGCTGCTCAAGCTCCTCAGCTGCAGATGAGCACACAGCAGAACAGCAGAACACCAAAGGTCCTTCCTTGCTTGCAAAGTGTCGAGGTTGTCTTCGTAGCAGATGCTGCAGGAGCGATTGGAGGTCTCCGGGCTGCTTTCACTTCCCACAAGAGCCAGGGTGCGCTCAAGGAAGCGAAGGCGCTGCGTTGTTTCTGTGAGATTTTTCATGGCACGGCCTTCGAAGTCAAGGGCCTCACTGAATTCTTCCAGAAGTTCCTTGGACGCCGACTCCTTCCCTTCCTTCGGATCTCTCTCCGCTTTCTCTTTGGCTCTCTGCAGCTTTTGCCGGAGCCTGCGCTGCCAGGAGGATCCCCCCTTCAGGAGCCTGAGATGCTCCGCTGGACCTCGGAGCGCGGAAGCCCCGCCGGGCCCCGCCCCCCCCCCCTCCAGGGGCAGTGGGCACTGGCAGTCTCCTTTTGGCCGGGGGGCTCAGGCGACTCGCCTCTTTGCGCACCGCTTCCAAGAAAGAAGAAACTGCCTCCGCATCCTCCACCTTCGAAGCAGGGATGAAGCAGGTCTTTGAAGCGCCCAGGCCCTCAGACTTGGAGACTTCGAGTGCTCAGCACGCGGCATGTGACGCAGTCGGCGCATGCTGTCGCAGCGGCAAGCTGTTGCCAAGGCGTCGAAGCCCTTCTGACCAAAGGACTGCTTGCTTCAGCTCCTCCTTTGCCATCGCAGCCTTCCGCGGCCAGAGCTCGCAAGTCTGCGGAATGACGCCAGACATGACACATTGACGGATGGACGTGACGTGGGCCTCCTGCTGCTTGGCTTTCAGAAGGCGACCACACGCCTCGTCGGCGTCTTTTGCGAGTTCCTGCGGGGAGAAGTGGGAGCAGAGCTGCAAGAGCTTCCGAGCGATGCCCATGCCATCGATGCCGCCGCTGTTGCACGCCGACAGGTAGAGTGCACGCCTCACATCGCAAACAGCTCTCTTCAAGTCCAGGCCCTGTGGATCCCTGCGGCCATGCCATGCGCGAACCCAGTCGCTCAGCATCGCTCAACCTTTTCTGCGCCGAGACACTCCTGCGCTGTATGTCGCACAAACTTCAGATGCTGGATGATGCGAAGCTTCGGAAGCTCTGCGCTGTTCTGCCGGACGCACGAATCCAAAAAACGCCCACAGTTCCTCAAGATGATTGCGCTTGCTTTGCGGAGGTTTTGCATATGTAGACTTGTAGACTGTAGACATCTCTACATAGAAGGTTCTCTGGCAAACCGTGTCTGGCCGAGCTTCTCGGCGAGCACGGGATTCTCCCGGAATCTGCCAGGACCGGCCAGCTCGATCCGAAGTAGGGATGCCATATTGGCGATGTGCTTCATGCCGTGCAAAGCCTTCAGAGCATGAACTTGTGAGGGCGACTACCTAGGGACCTAGTCTATCGAGTGCCTCACAACTGCCGCCGAGAAACCGGTGTCCCGGTCAGGCCCCAACGATGGTGTGCCCGCAGAAAACACAATGTGCGGCATATGTCGCTTCCATGCAGTTCGTGACATTCATCGAAAACCACCCGTCTCCAGAAGAATTGCTCCAACACAGGAAAACGAAGCTGTTTCCAAGACTCCCCAGAAGAGGTCTCCTTGAGGAAGCGTCTCCAGCTGTGCTTTTCAGGCTGTTGGAGAAAGTTGAAGGTTGCACACTGCAGCGTTTTGAACGAGGCGTCGTCCACTGGCTTCTTGGCCCCAAACTCCTAGGTGGACACCGCCACCAACAACAACGACAACAACAGCAACAACAACAGCAGCAGCGGCAACACCACCACCACCACCACCACCACCACCACCGCCACCAACAGCACCAGCAGCAGCAGCAGCAGCAGCAGCAGCAGGAGCAACAACAACAACAACAACAACACCAACAACACCAACACCAACACCAACGACGACGACTTCCCCTCCTCCCCCTTGATCTTGCGGCTTGCCGCCTCATTAACCGTCACGATAGTCCACGGCCCCACTCAAAAGCTTGAGACGTCGCAATGAAATCAAGATCCAAAGGCAGCAGCAATGATCGTCACAAGGGTACCCCCGAGCCCCTATGGGCTCTGCAAGTGGGTCCAAGGCGCGTCTTGCAAGTGGGCTTCGGCGGAGGCGGCGGAGGCGGCGGCGGTCGCTCCGAGCTCCCCGAGCTCGCGGCGCCTCTTCAAGTAGAAGGGCCGTTGAAAGAGCTGGTAGTCGCACAAGCAAACATCCGTCTCCAGGACGCTCCTCTCGGATTGCTAGACTATGAGACTCTTCGCAGATGAGTGCATGTGTCCTGACCGTCGCTTTCTTCAAGTCTGCTTCTTTGCTCAGACTCAAGACTTTGTACGTGCTGCCCGTGAATTTGACGAATTCTTCCGCCCATTGCCCTTGGTTTCACACTCTCAATGAGCTGGCAGGTGCCATAGGGGGCAATAAGCTGCGGCCATTCGCTCAGAGATGCCATGAAGATGAGAAGGCATGCAAATGAGCGTGCTGTCGCAGGGGAAAAAGAAGTCGCAATCAGGTTCAGGATCTTCCGGAAAGGGGCCTCCCTCAGAGTTCTAGATTGGACAAGTGGACGGTGCATACAAAGGCACGAAAAACACCCCCAGTGCTTCCAAGCATCATGCCGCACATCTACCAGTGCTATTGCCAAAGCTGTCTTTCCATAACCTATCCTCGGTGCTCGAAGTCTGCGGTACAGCGCATTCAGCAAGAACAAAGCTTGGCATCGCATCGCATGGCCACGTAGCCCCGTTCTGCCAGGCCGCTCGTCGGCCAACACGCCTCCACGCGCCTGGGAACGGCAGTCGGCGCAGCCCGAGAGTGAACGAAGCCGACAGCCTTGAAGGAGGCGATCACGCGGCAGTCCAACGTCCAATCCAATGCGAGGCTTCGTGGAGCAGCCTCACCAACAGCTGACGAGCGTGTTTGGGTTGACCTTTTGTGGCTTTTGGGCAGCCTAGTATCTCCCTTTGCCTCTTCGGCACGTTCTCGCTGCCAATAACATCGATAAACCTTGCATCCGGTACAGAAGACTCGAATGCCTCCAAAAATGCCTAGACTCCCGAATCTTGGCAGGCACAAAATGACACAAAACAAAGACTGGAATCACGAGGAGCCATCGTGAGGAGTTGGTCACCAAACTCCTGAACAAAAAACAAAATTGATCGGATTTCATGCCGAAAGCTCTGCACAGCTCCTGCTGAACCATCCATTGCAGCGATCTCAGCTGCTCCGGTCGCAGAGGCAACAAGAAGTTTGGTGGTTGCGCATGCCTGCGCGTAAAACATCGTACACCCCCACACATCTCCATACTTGCACTCAGCTCGGGCTGCTCTGTTTCCGCCTGCGGTCCAGCTTGTTGTCCAGGAGACGGAAACTAGGGCTTGGCGGGCTTGGCAGAACTTGAAGGTCAGGCGGCGATCCACTCCAGACGCGCCAGTCAGCCTCGTAGCCCGCAGCTGGGAACCTCACGAGCTACGAAAAAACTCGACCCCTCACCACACGGCGTGGGGGGGCGCTTGCCTGAGGTTCAGCATCCTGGCGAAGGCACGGCGCAAGTTCACCTCCAGCCGCACCTCGATGCCTGAGGCATCCTGAAGCTCGGCGAGGTGGAGAGAAGCGGGGCGAAGCGGGGAGGGTCCTCGTTCAAGCGGTAGGAGATGCGTCTGCAACTTGGCTCTTCCAACCTCTTCATGCAGACGCTTCCCTAATGACAAAGCTTCGGCACTCAGAGCGGCGAGCAAAGGAATGCACCTGCGCTCGCAGATGTTTTGCTAGAGCAGACAAAAAACTCAAGAGGGCCCCGCAGTGGCGGAAGCTCCCTTAACACTCTAAACAAGACTCTGCACTTCAACCCGCCTCTCTCTCGTGCTTGCACCTTGCCGAAAGTCCACGCACATCAGCCCGTCCAAAGTTCCGCAAGGACCATCTTCGGGAGTCAGACGAGCGACGAAGGGCTGCCACCCTGAACTTCTTGGAAAGTGAACTGGGAAGACCTCTCTTTCCCCTAACAAGCATGGTAAGGCCCTCAGCACGTGTGGCAGAGGGTCGAGGCAACAAACTCGCGTCGCTCCCGAAGTAACCGGGAAGTGCGTTCACAGGCGCCGTCGCACGTGGACCCCAAATGCAGCTCAAAAGTGAAGTCTTCTCTGCCCTACGCGAAGTTGCTGAATCGCGCACTCGGCAGAATGCCGCGCGTATTCAGAGGTTGTTCTGGGATGGAAATCGCACCTCATGTGTTCGGTGTGGCTCGTCTTCTTGCCAGTCTGGCTTGTCTAAGTCTATGTTTTTTTGTGTTTTTTTCCTGCCTTGTTTTTGTTGGTTTGTTCCTGCCTTTTGTCCTACCTTCTGTTGGCGCTCCCTCAACGCACATCATCACGATACCCAGAACTGGCGTGAGCCACACCATCGGATTTTAATAATTAATGGA